CCTCCTCAGACCACCCCGAAGCCCCTTGCTGGGGACAGGTGGCTGCATGCCACAGCCCACATTTTTGCTACACGTTGAGCCTGGCATGTCAATTAATGCATTGCACTCCCAGATGGCTTGGGACTGAGGGCAACCTTGGTTTCTTGCCTTTACCCCTGTAAGGGCCACTTTGGAGAGGTGAAACAAACCCCCACAGACCCATGTGGTGCAGAGCCTCCCATCTCCTGTTGATCCTTCTGTTCCATCCCTCAAGCAGGGACGTGCTTCCCATGCTGCAGCAAGGGTTGAGACCCCTCCATCACCTCTCCCATCTCCCTTTTTTTAGCTGATTCATGAAATTTCCATTCTGGCAGTGCCGTGTTGCTTTAAGCTGTTTACGCGAGCTCAGGAGGCGACAGTGCACGGGGTATTTTTAGCTCGCTGGGTAGCAGAGCAGGATTAACATGCAGTCAGTGTTACAGACGCTGGGGCTGAATCAGTATTCCTGCACAAGCCTCTCTGTGCCAGCATCTTCCATTGAGTGTCTGAAAAACCTGAGTTTCCATGGAGACCCGGCTCCAGGGCAACCCGTTTACTTGTAAAAAAGCAGCAGGTAGGGAGCGGGCACAAGGCATGGCCAAGCTCCGGCTCCAGAAGGCAAATGGTGGCTGTAAATCCCGATCCCTTCTCATCTGGGATGCAGAGAGGAGGGCATTAGGCTGCAAAATGGTATTAAAAGGTGAATGGGTGCAAGCCGGGCTTTAAATCCTGTCCCATCCTTCTGGTATGTGTTTTTTTTTAGGGTTGGATGTGCTTTTTGGGAGGATCTGCAAAGTTGGTGGTGGCTGGCAGAGGCTCTTGGTGTGGGGAGAGGGAGCAATGAGTTAAATTAGCAAATTCTCTTCCTATGTAGAATGAGCAGAGACCCAGCAAAGCTGCTTGGGACCACGTGTAGCTGCCCCAACAGAAGCTGAAACCATGCAGTAGAAGTGATGATAAAAGCACAAAACAAAGCCCAGGTCTTGGAGTGGCCAACCCCATCACCAGCTCCTTGCTTGGGGCTGCTGGGCTGCAGGGGCAGACCAGCGGCCGTGTGAACACGGTGCACCTTCTGGGCAGGGCTGGCATGGATTGGCCTTCCTGGATCCAGCGCTCCTGGTGAGGTCCTCGGTGCCGGTGGGCTTCATGGAGGTGGAACAGAGACCCCACAGCAAGGCCTCAGGCAGACCCAAGGTAGCAGACCCTAAGCCACCACGGCCTCTGTGACACAGTTTGGTATTTTGATTTTTAAACCAGCGGAGAATAGCCATGGAGGAACAACATTGCTCAGTTTTCAAAGCAGAGTTTTTGCTTTCCCATCTTTCACCTAGGAAAAAATTGAAATCCTGTCTGCAGAAAAATGTATTCAGTTTTTCAAAGCCTTTTTCAATAAAAGACAAATAGGTGTTTAAAACCTCATGTCCTTGAAATAAAATCCAAGTTGAGAACTTGTATTAAAAAAAATGATTTTTACAGCAGCATTTTTCAGCCTGATTTATTAACATTTTTGCCCAAACAGAACACTTTTTGTGAATAGGTTTCTTTAGATCTAGAAACTGTTGTCATTGGCTTTTTTTTTTTTTTTTAATTGAAAACCACTTCCATTTTCATTAATAGCTGTTCTACCATCCCTAGGCTGCACTCAGCATGCCTGAAACAACTCCTGTCCAATGGGTTATTCTCCAGCACTGGAAGCAGCAGACACAATGGGCTCTTATCTACGCTCACGACATACTTAGACAGACCTGCTACTGTGCAGGCTCTGTTCAGAAAATGGTGTGGTTTCCTTTTTCCGGGTAGTAAAATGGAGTAAGTCATATTTCAACCCAACTCCTTGAGTTTGTGTGCTCCTGGAAATTTTCTGTGCCCATGGAGTCAAGGAAACGCTACTAGAGGTACTCTAGCATCTGAGGCTCTTGCTTCAGCTCTTGTCACTTTTTCTTTTCTTTTTTTTTTAACTTTTTATTATTAATATTATTATTTTATTTATTTATTTTCCCCACTGCTTGCCATTGATTGGTATAGGACCCCCATGATGTTGTTGGGGTTGGGGTTCAGCCAGGCAGAAAGGTGAGACCCTGCTGGGTGCTGGGGCATTGTGTCACAAGGAGTCCTTTGTGTCCCTGAGGTCAGGGATTGTGTGATGGGACTGTACTCTTCCCCCTGCCAGATGCTCATGGTAACTACAGCCTTTTCTAAACCCACATCTCGATGATGCTGCAGGAACACATACAAATGAATTCCCTCTTATCACCGCCACCCAACCGGGCCCCCTCTGTCATTAGTCTTTTGTTTGTTCCTGGGGTGAGCTATTCTTCATCTTCGCTTCCTGCTCACAGAAAATGATATTTGCTCAACAGCTGGCAGGAAAATAATAATAATAATAAAAAAAAATAAAATGCAGCACTCCAGGTGTCTATTGACATTAATGTTTTTGTAACATGCCTAAATTCTCCATCATGCAGAGAATTTTAGGGAAGAGGGGGACTTTGCTGCTCCATTCGCAATGCTGCAGCAATGGGAGGCAGGGATGGTTGGGCAGGGCATGGGATGGGGAATATCAGAGAGCTGCAGGCTTGAAGCCCTGTGGGAAATGCTGCTCTGTTTGCAGCACAGCATCGTGCTCTCCTTTATACAGTGGGACCACAGGAGGCTTGGCCACAGTAAGAAGGGAGAATCCCAAGAGCACCTTGCAGTAGGGATGCTATGGTTATTTCCAGCTGGGTAAATACCGTCTCCCTCTCTCCGGTTTGCAAGGAAAGGGGAAGTCAACCATGTCCGAGCAGCTTTGGAAGGCTGCAGCAGTGTCTTACAGGGCTGGTGCCAGCATTGTCCCCTTTAAATGCTGCAAATTGTCTTGCTGAGCCCCTTCTCAGTGCAGACCTCTTGTTCCCTCCTCGTGGGACCCCAATGCTCCAGCCTCTGCTTTGCATTTATAGCTGCTGGTTGCAGCTCTTTGTTATTTTCTGATGTTAATTTAAAAAAAGCAGCTGACACCATCTCACTGTTCACGGAAGGAAACTATTTAGGGACACAACCAGTGGGTTTTGGAAAACTTACCATAATGGGAGAGCTGCAGTTCCTTCCAGCCTCACATCTGCCCTGTTTCGCCTGCCAGCTCACCCGGGGCCCTGCTGAACGGAGAGATGCTAATTGGATGTTAACGGCTCTGAAAATACCTCTGCCAATTTCTGAGCAGAATAACTGGGAGTCAGCTGGACCGGGGGCTTTTCGTGCTCCCCAAGCCTTTGTCCCTCTCAGAGAAGGACGTCACATTCCTGTTTAAATGTGTCCTCAGTGCTGACTGGTGAGCCAAAAGCCAGCGTGTGCTGATGGGCTTGGCAGGGCTGGGTTTGGGGCAATAAATGTGCTTTAAGAGTCTGGGCTGAACTGGAGCAACCCCTGCAGAGCAGATGTGGGAAGCAATTAGGGAGAGACTGGAGGAGATGGGCAAGTCCTCTCCAGTCTTAGTGATGGCTTTGATGGGGAAACCTGCTGGTCCTGTGCAGCAGAATGAGGGTTCCTGCACTGCAGAAAATGTTGGGTATAAATGGAGGATGGACACTGAGGGCTCCCCTTGATGCCCCCCACCCTCTGCTAAAGCCCTGGTCGTGGGGCTGCTGCTCGGCTTGCAGGCAGTGTCCACTATCCCATAATTGCAGTTCATATTTTGGGGCTTCTAAATTTGTCTCTTTTTGGGTGGGAGGTGTACAGAGGAAGGTGTATGGTGGGGAAGGAGGACAGGGAGAGTTTTGCTCTCTGGCTCCATTGTCTGATCAAGGCGAGCTTGACAAAGCGAGGCTTCCTGTCCCTCTGGGGTTGCCCAGGTGTTACTGCAGTCAATGAGCCTCTGCGGTAAAACAGCTTGGGTTGGTCCTAAAGATGCTTTTCTCTCTCTCCATTTAGAACAGCTTTGCGTTGCAACAAAAAGCCACGCCAGCAGGAGGGAAGTGATGAGCATGTGAGGACTCAGCTCTCAAAGCCACACCGTGTGTATGGGTCAGGACTCAACTTCTGTACCCTCTGATGGAGCAGCACGGGGCCGGGACACTGCAGAGGGACCTGCTGGTGGCTGGGGAGGGCAGAGGGTGGGCAGCAGCCAGGAGGGAGCCACTGCCCCCAGCGTTAGTGGGAGCTCTGGCCACTCGGGGAGGAGCCTGTGCCAAGGATGCTGCTCTCAGCAAATCGATGCAAATCCCCTTGTGTCTGCTGCAGAGCTGGCACTGCCCTGGCAGGCTCAGGGTGACAGGCTGGGCAGGATCGTGGCAGGCCAGCAGGGATGAGCTGACATGCGGGTGATGAGCTGGCTCACATGTCCCTGAGGTGCCTGGGTCCCTCCTTGCTGCCATGCTCCCTCCTTGCCAGCTCAGATAGGCAATCCTAAAGAGGTGCATCCCCTGACTTCCACAACAAGTAGCTGAGCCATGGAGGGACACTCTTCTGCCTCTTGTGGCCATGGTCCCTGACCAAAACCTCACCAGGTGAAAGGAAAAAGAGAAGCTTCCAAATCAGCCCCATCACCTTTGCTCCTGGCTCCTCTCCCCACACTTCCTTGCTGCTTTTGTGCTCCAGGTGTCCAGAGAGCAGAACAAAACTCTCTCTGACTCTCCTACCTCCCCAGCAGTTACCTTCCAGCCCACCCTATCCCATGCTCCACCTCCATGCCCCATTGCTAATTGCATCTCAGTAGCTTCCCAAGGACTGCTTTCTGTTTTCTTCCCCGTGGAGGATGCAGCTGGATGGGTTTCTCCTGACCTGATTGAAATTCGGATCAGCGGCAGTGAGGCAGCCGTGCTGGCTATCAGCCCTGCTCATCACCACCCGCAGCCACCGTTCAAAGCAGCTGCTCTGCACAGATCCAACACCGAGCCTCTTCCCCAGACCCCCACAGCCTCGACTGAGCAACCCACCAGGGCTGGGGGGGGCGGGGCTAATTAGGGTAATGGTGGAGAAAATTGCTGGGGGGAGATGGGAATAATTCAGCCACATTTGGCACAAGCTCATTGAACCCAAGGCAGGCTCATGGACACAGGTGGGAGGGCAGAAAGGGGCTGCAAACCCCCAGCCCTGGCTTCTGCCATCAATGCACTTTTTAGCCGAGGGCACCTCATTGAACTCCCAGACTCAGCTTTTAAATCCCAAATCAAGGCTGCTAGCCCTTCAGACCATGCTCTGCGCCTCCAGAAGGCTGCATTGGCTTTTTCCTTGGATTATTATTATTTTTGTGATTAGAAGAGACCATTGTGTTCAGCCACTTTGACTTCCTGCATTAGACAGGCCATGAAATGCTGTGTGGTGCTAAGCTTTATTATTAGCGTTTATTACTGTGGAGGGAACGAGCACAGAAAGCACAACTCCATGGGTGGGTAGCTTTTTAAAGCAATCACCTACGGCCATGCAACCTCTTATGAAAAGTCTCTGCATAACCGAGATGGATTTGTTATGTGCATAGGGGATGTGGGTAATTATAGGAAAATCTCTGTCTCTTGACAGATAAGATCTCGCCGTGTTTGTTCCGGAAATTACGGGGGTTGGTGCAATTGTTGTGGGTGTTTTCCCCCTCTCAGGGTTGCAGAAGGGGATGGTGGTGGTCGACGATGCTGGCCTGGAACAGGGCTAGCTGCCTGGCTCTCCTGGTGAGCGAAGGGAGCCGTGCTGGGTTAATACCCTGGTAGGAAACAGCAGTGCTGAACACCAAATGCTTGATGATAGCTTTGCTGATTATCCTCCGTGTTCACCAGTGGGCCCTGGCCATGGTTTCGGCTCAGGTCTGTCTTCCCACCCCAGCTGGCCCTTGCAGCCCAGGGGAGCTGGGATGTTTCAGCCCTGGAAGCTCAGCCTAGGCAGGACCTCACCATGAAAGGGGCTCGGAGGGCACAAGATGGGACCTGCACGGCTGAAGCTTGAGCAGGCTTTGGTTGGGGGTGGAAGACCCTGAGATGGGGAAGAGCTGGGAGCACAACGAAGCCTTGGGCAGAGCACAGCTTGAATGGGAGTTTTGGAAGGGATTAGTGGGTATGTTGCCCGTTGGGCTGACCTCAAGGAACAGAACAGGTGAAGGAAGGGATTTAGCCTGGTGCAGCACAGGGGCTGCAGTCCCTTTGGTCTCCGTCCATCCCTTCTTCCCCTCAACAGCCTCCCCACCACAGCGGGTTCATCCTTAAATCTGCCTCCTCAGTTTCTCTATCCCCACTACTGCAGGACAGATTCTGTCCCTACAGTCCTTGGGGCACAAGCTCTGGGTGGCCGTGCTACCACCTCTACCCACCCTCATACCTGCTGCCAGCCAAACCAGCCCCTCCAGGTGAAGATCTCCAGGGTTTCTGTATTCCAAACTGAGCTGCAAAAGGGCTTAGGGGATGTTGACTTTTGCTGCACATGGATTTTTTTTCTTCCTCCCACACAGTGAAGCTCAGGGAGGATGACGGGACCCAAGGAGCCTTTGGGACTGGATCCAGCCCCGTTGGATCCTGGCACTGGGGACCTTACCTGCTGCTGAAGAAAGGTTGAAGAAAGGGGAGGGGGAGAGAAAGGAGAACAGCCTGAACTCATCAAGGCATTCACAGCCTGGCTTCCCTCCTCTCTGATTTTGTTTAAATTAAGCCATCTGCCCACATTAAATGGTAAATTATCTCAGCTGCTGCCTGTCTCCCTGTGGGGAAAGCGGCCGGAGGAGGAGGAGGAGGGGAGAGAAGGGGGGGGGGGGGGTAAAGGCTGCAGAGCTGCCCCTGGCTGGGACCTGGGGTGTGTGATGCTCTCGTGGAGGTTTGTGCCACCTCCCCTTCCATGTGCTGGAGGTCAGCCCCTGGCAACCTGGAGCTGGTCACCTTGATGTGGTCACAGCCCTTCTCCACTGTCCTTGGTGAAGAAGTGGGAAATGGTCCTTAATCCAGCTGATGGAGGAGAGCGAGTTGCAGTGCGACCGCCCTCAGCTCACGTCCTTGGGAGTCCTTCTCTGGGTGGCAGCACAGCGCCTGCCTGAGTGGTGAGCTGAGAGCCCTCGCCGTGAATCTTTGGCTCAGAGTGATGAAGGCATCCAGTGTACCGGGACGGAGGCAGCAGGGCTGCCAAGGGGAATGACCAAGACAGGACCTGGTTTTGGTCAGCTTGCATGCTTGTTTTTTTGCAAGCGGCACTCGCAAATGGACGGCTTTTCACCATGTTGTTGAGCTGGGCAAGACCCTTCTGGTACTCTGGGGATGTCTACAGAGATGAAGCCTCTCTGGGTGCTGAGGTGCTGGGTGGGCTCCACCTCCCCTTGGGCAGCTTGGAGCCAATCTCACACCCTGCAGTGGGGTTGCAGTGATGGATATGGCTTTAAACCAGTCCCCTCTGCTCCTGTCCATGCTGGGTGGTGGCAATGTCACCTCCCAGCAATGTGCACATCTGCCACCTCCCCACAATGTGGTGCTCAGTGCTGCATCAGCATCCCAGAAAGAGCCATCCTCTCCATGCAACTGGTTGGGTGCAGAAAGGATGTAGGTTTTCATGCTAACTCCTCAGTGAGACCCAGCTCTTGTCATCGCTGTACTGTGGTGTTCAGTCTTTGAGCAGGTCCCCAGGGTGGTGCTGGGGACATGTGGGTGGCTGGGCACAGCTCGCCATGAGCCATCCTCTGACCCCAGCACCCTGCAGGTGACAGAAGTGGGCAAGAAGGAAAAGTAATGTGAGGTAGAGGGGACACTGAGGGCTCTGAACTGCCCTGTTTTACAGCCTACATACTTGGGTTTCCCTCGGGAGCCAGAGAAGGGATGCAGTGGGGTGCTGGCACTTCAGGGAAAGACCTCCCTGCTCTGCAGTGCCCCAGCTGAGGTTGTGTCTCCAGTACTGCTCTATGGGTCGTTCCCGCAGAGTTCCTGTGTCCTGCAGAGCTCTCCATCCCAGCCATGTCCCCAAATGCTGCTGTTAGGCAACAGCAACCTCTGGTTCCTCTGAAATGTAAAGGGTGACAGCATCATGCACAATATTCTGCTGTCCCTCACTTAAAACTGAGTAAGGAGACCATTTTCTCCCTCTGTCATTCCATCACTCGGCCTCCTGCAGCAACGCTGTTGAAGCGCAGCTGGAGCTAGGACGAGGCAGTGCAGGTCTGCTCTGTGCTGCGTGCCCAGGTCTGGCTTGCAGAAGCTCAGGGTGTCCTGGACCTGCACCAAGAGCATCTGCAAGCAATTCTGTCACAGAAGCTCTTGGCAGGCAGCTGCAGCCATCCTGGCTGGTCCGTGGGCATGGCCTGGGGATGTCCCAGCCTCAGCAGCAGCACTGGGGCTGCCTAGCTCTCAGCAGTGGGGAAGCAGAGTGGTTGTGTGCAGGTCACGGCAGAAGATTTTTCTCACTTTGTGTAACGTGTGGTGAAGCTGTAGGGTCTCCTCTCCTCATCTCAGTGGTCTCCTGGGGTCAGGTTCCCCCTCCAAGAAGTGTTTCAGGGCATCTCAGCCCATTCGTACTTGTTCTCACCAGGTGTGCTGGGTTGTATGTAGTATGTGGGTGCTGCTGAGCTCCTAAGAGAGAAGGATCCTGGATCTGTCCTGTGCTGAAATGTGGATGCAACAGCTTGTGAAGCATCTCCAAGACTGAATGCACAAGAGGGCTTCCAAAGGACCTGTGGTAAGAAGTAAGCCATGCAGTTTCTCCTGTTCACAGCTCCTATGTCCCATCTCTCAGCCATTATTTTTGATTATTTTTTTTTCCAGAAAGCAGACAAATATTTGCAGCAGCTCAAGTCTGCCTTTGACTGAGGTGTGAGAAACAACTGCAGTGCCAAACTCCTCAATGTGTAGCAAGCACCCAGGGAGAAACAGGCTGCACCAACTCACGCAATGTAGCTTGCCATGAATGCACTGTGAGTGTCAGCAGCGCTTATTGCATCTCGGCAGAGTGATGGTAACCTGATTACTGGCAGCCTCTACCCCCGAGGTCATTAAGCACCAGGGAAAAGCAACTAGAGTCTCATAAAGCTTTCTGGAGAGATTTGGATCAAAACCTAAGCTCTGAGTGTCCTTGGGCTGTGAGACGTCTGTTCCCATGTCCATGCTCCTCCACGTGCCTTGTGGGATGCTTTGGGGGAGTCTGTGTGAGAAGTCCAGGCTGGACCCTGATGGTTAAATCTTACTGGAGAAATGCAGGCTTCAGAATGAGGCTGCTCGCTCAGGATGGTCCAGATGTGGGTTAAATCCTGCTTCAGGCTCGGGGAGTTAGATTCCCTCCTTGCTTTACTACCTGCTCTTGTCTGCATTTCCCATAGGGAGCCTGGTCAGTCTGTGCCTCGCAGGCTGGAGGCACCTGGAAGTGCCTGAGCAGCAGGGGAACTGCTGGAAGAAAGCAAATGGCAGGCTCCATGTGAGGAAATCTGGGAGGGAAGACAGCAATGGAGAGTCAGTGAGAGAGAACAGAGGAGGAACATTTCTCCCTTTTCTGCTGGAAGCCATCAGGCAATCCTGCTGCTTCCACTAAACCCACCCAAAGGAGTCAGGCAAAAACCTAAGAAATGCACAAACTGAAACAGTCGGGGAAAGGGGAGGGAGGGGTAGAGCTCAATGCTGGAGTTAATGGCCTGTGAACAGGACTGATGGCATGGGCCATGGGCAGAGCCTGAAGGGCAAATCACACCTGCAGGGAAGATGAACAAGCAGTTTGCCTGCGATGAACAAGGGCAGCTTCTCAAGGGCACCAGCAGGAGGATGGGGCAGGGGACTGCCATGGGGCTGAAAGGGTTAAACAAATAGTTCCTTGGCTTTTTCACTCATTTGTATGCCTCTCCTGGCAGCATTTAGGTGTAATAAATCCACATGTGTGTGAGTGCACACCCAGTGCCCTTCCCCTGAGGGCTGCCTCAGAAAATAACCTCTTCCAGCTGCGGGGCCGGGAGGCACCGGGGCCCCCCAGCCGCAGGGCCGGGTGATTACCCCCAGGTGTCCAGTGGGGGAACTGGGACACAGGAGCAGTGAAATGGCTTGGGCTGGGTGGAAAGAAAGTGGTGGGGCTGCGGGCAGGGCTGTGAGTGGAGTGTGCTGGGGGTGTATTTGCTTTTGAGCGTGGGCTGAAGGCTGGCCCCAGCACCAGGACTGCACACGGGTCTCGCGCTGAGTGGTTGGGTTTCCTCTCCTCTCAGATCAGAGAGGGGCCGAAAGCCCCTTGCATACCTGGGCAGGGCTGCAGAGAGGTTTTTCGCCCTGGTTGCTCTGGGCTGGAGCAGACCCGGGTGCTGTTCTCTCTCAGCTCTGTCTGCTCGTTTTTGGACTGGCTTTTGTCTGCGCTCAGCCAGGCTCCTTGTCGCCCAGACAGGAGAGATGAAAATGAGCTCTCATCCTCTGCGGAGGAGATCAGGGAGAGAGACAGAGGAAAAGTGAGGGAGATTAAGCAGAAATAGCTTCAGGGGTCATTTAAAAATATCCCCATGACTCCCTTAAATATATATTTAGCAAGAATTCATAGTCCATGGCTGAGGGAGCTCCAGGCACCAAATGTACAGAACGGTTTTTGATGAAGACCCACGGGATCCAGTGCAGGTTGGAGGGATGGAGGCTGCTGGGGTGGAAGAGGGGGAGATGTGGGGCAGGGGTGGCAAGGTGGTTCCCAGCCACCTCCCCGTGCCTGTCAACTGCCTCGATGCAGCATGCAGCCACGTGCTGGTCCCTTGGGGCTTCCAAAACAAGGTCATCTTCCTTCAGGGTCCATCAGCAGGCCAAATCCAGGGCACCTGCTGTGTAACCACCCAGTCCATCGCAGTTTTCCTCCCCCAGGAGTAACTGCCTGCCTGAGAGCTGTCCATCTTTGCTCCTTGGGCCACAGCGGCTGGGAATGGCCACAGAGGTACAGGGCTGAGCCTGGCCCTTCTGGAGGGGAACCAATGGAGCTGCTGGTGGACCAGGAGAGGTGAACATGCACGGGATTGAAATGGTCCTGAAATGCCTTCAAGGAGAGAGACAAGTGCTCAGCAGGGTTCCCCCAGGAGGACGGTATGAAGCTGCTGCAGGGCTGATGCGTGGCGGGTGACACACTGGGACAGCTGGGAGCAGCACAATGTGCTTTGCTTCAGCTCCCCCACTGGCTCTGAGATCCCAAAGTGTTTTTCAGTCCCCAGTGCTTCAGGAGTAGGAAGGTCCCCTTGTTCCTAGGAGCATCCTGGGCTGAAGGAAGGATAAAATCCCAGGTCTGCCCCAGGGCTGCGTGATCTGCCAGAGCCCATGAATTATTCACTGCTCCTCCAAGTTGCAGAGGATCCCGTTACGCCGTGCAAAAGGGTCTCCTTGAGCAGCAAAGCCTTGCCCATAGCTCCCAGCTTGGAAACCCAAGGGCTGGAGGGAACTCAGCTCACGCCTTCCTTCCCCAGGGCCAGCACTGCTCCGATAGCAAAGTCAGGCAGGCTTTTGATTTCGGGGCTCTGCCTGAAGGTTGGTGGGTGTCTCCTTACAGCCCTGCTTTATTGATTGTCTCCTGCCTGAGTTCCCACCCTATTCAGATTGTAACAGCTCCCTGATGACAAATGGGGCTGCCAGCCTCTAATTTATTTTAATTGCCATCTTTTCTTCCCACTAACAGTGTAGAGGCACAACAAACTTGTGCTGGAGTGCCTGATCTGGGAGGTGCTGGGGGCATTTTGGTGATTTTGAGGGAACTATCTCGGTTGGAGAATCTTCTTTCCCCACCTGTCCAGCACAGGAAAAGCCCTCTCTGAAAACCCATAGCATGGGAAAACCGAGGCACAGGCAGTGCTTAGGAGGAGGTGGGAACCAGTCCCTGGGTGACAGTGAAGAGAAACCAGCATCAGGCTGCCCATGTGTAGCATGGGCTGGGGAAGGAGGATAAACGGAAACAAAGTCTGCGTTTTGTGGTCAGCATGTGTCCTCGTACTGGAGGGCTCCCTGGCACCTTCTGGCCTCCTCGCCTGCCGCAGGGGTGATGCCTTTCAGCACAACACCATTTTTGCTTGGGAAGGTGTCAGAGGGAGGAACATTTTGTGAAGATTTGGTGTTTTCAACTGTATGCCTGTAGACAGAGGTGCTGTGAAAGGATAGGCCGTGCTAGAGGAGAGGACATGCTGCTCGGCACGCTGCTCTCCACTCCCACCTGTGGAGCATGGAGCAGGGAAGATATGACACAGGGCACCCCGGAGACTGTAGAGATGGGTGACTTTTGTATGTGCGTGGCAGTGTTTGGCACTATGGAGAATGAGGTAAGGATGCTTACGAGGGTGGAGGAGAGGTGTGAGGTGCCTGGATGCGGGCTGGCTCACAGGGCCGTCTCTGTGGTCCCCCCATGCAGGTGCTGGGCTCTGCAAGCTGCTGCTCAGCTCATCCCTTCCCAGCTGCTTGTGCAAGGGGTTGAGAGTTACCTTCTGCCACAGGCTGTGTCTGCGCTTTCCACCCTACTGGGACAGCAGGGAAAGGCCACAGGTCCCAGCAGTTCAGAGCAGGTCTGGCTTTCCATAGCATCCCTTTGCACTGCTTCTCCTTCCACAGCAAGCCACTCATCCTGCAAGCACGTCACACTTGGTGGTGACATTACAGCTCGCAGCAGGGGTGGGGGCCTCCCCTGTCCCTATCCAAGAGGAGTCCTCCCCTGCCCAAATTCCCAAAAGGCGCCTGACAGCCCTGGCTGAAACTGAGCCAGATCTCTGGTGTTTGGGGCATCTTGGGGCCCCGGGGTGATGTGAAGTCCTCCTCGTCTGGAGCTGCCACCTGTTTGCTGTCTGCCCAGCAGAACACAGCTTGTGCAAAGCTGCTGCAGTGCTGGCTCATTGTGTCGCGGCGTGGCAGCATGCTGCCGTGCAGTGACATGGCAGTGGCTGGAGCGGAGGACCCAGTGCTTAAAGATGCCAGGAGAGCGATGAGTCTCATCTCTTGGCGTGGGTGCAGGTACATTGAGTTCTTCTGGGATGGGTCCCCAACATCTGGCGCCTCCATTCCATGTGGACATTGGTGTCCAGAGGAGGGGGGTTGTCCCCAGCATGTCCCTGAGGAGGGCAGCTGGGGACAGGGAAGGGCAGGACGCCAAGAGCACAGAGGAACCCCAACTGCTCGAGACTTTGTAATGCTGGACGCTGACGGGTGTCCTCTGGGCACTGGGCTTCGGTGCAGGATGTGGCCCTGGCTCCCTGATGCTGCCTGAATCCTCTCTCTACTTTGGGGTTTATTCTTCCCTTTCCATTAATCTCCGATTATTAGGTGGAAAGTGAACAATTACTGTGCTAATGGCTCCATAAATTCCTTCATTACTTATTAAACCCGCGCAGCGGAGGAAAAGCAACGAAACAGGGTGGAGAAGGGCCGGGGAACGGATCCGGCCGGCAATTCCTGGGCTGCCGCTGCCCTCTGCCGGCAGCGGGGCTGGACTGGGGAGCAGTGGGGTGCCCAGGGGAGCTCGAAGATGCTGCTAGGTCTGGGGCATGGAGGGGGACACCTTGCCCGGGGAGCTGCTGCAAAAGCTGTCCTCAGAGGCCGCGAGGTGGTGCCGAGCTGGGCTGAAGCACGGGGAAGAGAGTTTGGCTTTAGCTGGGCAGGTATCAGGTGCTCCTGATTGATTTTGGCGCTGAGCTGCACAGGGAGGAAAATCAGGCAATGAGGGACCAGTCCCTACAGGGACCATTCCCCATCGAGCACACCAGCACAAACCAGGAATAAAGCCCAGGCCAATTCCTCAGGGCTGAGATGTTCGCAGGGACTGGCACCACTTGGCGCAACAGAACTGAGCCAAGAGCTGGGGCAGGTCGAGGACTCTTGAACTCACCCCCATCTCCACGCTGGCTCCCCAGGAGGCTGCAAGCAAACCCCAGGCACCTCTTTTTCTGCTGGAGGAAGGAGCCCTCTCTCTCCTGGCTTTCCTTGAGGTTCTGGGAGCTGCCTCACAGTTCGCTGCCAAACCTCACTATGTTCCTGCAGGGTGGACATTCTCCAGCTTTTTTTTTTTTTTTTTTTTTGCTGCTGGTGAAGGCAGAGACCATCATGAGAACTGCAGTGACTGTGTGGGGGAAGCTTTTGCCTCCCTTTTGTGGTGCTGAGGGTCAGGGTGCAAGCCAGCTCGCTTTTGCGCTGGCAGGAGCTCCTGGGATGGCTCTTGTAGCCTCACCTAAGTGAAGCTAATGTATTTTGACATCTCTAATGGCCAGCTGGGATGCAAGTGCATCTCCAGGAAGAAACACAGCTTGCCTCAATGCAAAACTGCCAACAAGCAGTCACCTCCCCATCTGAGATGCTCGCAAGTCTTCAGCCCACGTCAATCAGGCTGTGGGGCTCAGCATCCTGATGGGAGCCCTCTTTGCCTCTCCTCCATCAGGCTCACTGGCTCCTCTGCTGTCATCTCCATCCAGGCTTTAAGAAGGAGTCGCACGCTTAAGCTCTAGAGAGAGGTTTCTGCAGAAAACAGCAAGTTTCTCCGGTTCTGCAACACCCAAGTATCGTCCAGGATGAGCCCAGCTTGACAGGACCTCGATGCCCAACTCCCACTGACACCAAATGTAATTAGACGTCTCTATCTAGGCCAGGGGCTCAAGGGCCATCTGGCTCCTTAATTATTCATACACGTAAATAAATGCAGACAGAGTGCTTGTTATCTAGCCTGGGCCTGGGGAGCGATTCCTGCTTATGCAGGACCATTTCTTGGGTCTGACAAAGCGTGCTTTTCTCCAGAGCTCATTTTGGGTGCTGTGTTGCCTTTCCCTACTGCCAAAACCCTCTTCCAAATGCACCAGTGCTGCCAAACTGCACGTTAGACGGGTCTGAGTCTGCTGCCGGCTGATGCAGAGGTGGAAAAACTCTGGAGATGTCTCTGCTTGGAAGGAGCAGGCTTGGAGGACAGAAATCAGATGAAATGCCGGTCAGGAGAGCCTGTCCCTTCAGCGATGTGGCCCAGTGCTCCTCCAAGGTGTCTCTTAAACTGTGACTTACCAGCTGTGGAATTTTAATTTGGGTTTCGCTCGCAACCTGAGGCACCACAAGGAAACAGTTAGAACCTCGGCAGATAGAAGTCTCTATCGCTAGTTGTTTAAAGTGATGCATTTCCTCTCAAGCCTGTGGAGCTGTGCCAGGTTTTACCAGATGTAGCCTCAAAGGTGCAGCTGAAATATGTCAATATAAGATTTTCCCCATATTTTTTATTGTGACTGGCCAAGGAGTGCTTCCTCTGCTCTGACAGACGCCATGGGATGCACGGGAGAGGTACTGGCAGGGAGGGTACCTGCATGGAACATGGGTGTGTCTGTTCCAAAACAAGGTGATGCTGCTTTTTATTTCAAACTGTGATAATCTGTTCCCCAAAGCATGCTGTGCCAGGCAAGGTCTCCTTCCTGAGGCAATCCTACCCCAGGCTCCAGAATCCTTTCCAGCAACACCGGCCTCGGAAGCGAGGCATTTCTGTAAAACGGTAACACCCTGACAGAGCAGTGATTTTTCTATCGGATAAAAAGTGGCCGTGTTTTCTCCTTCTCATGTGTCTCCCCAGGAAAGCTGCAGGGATCAGATGAGCAGCGGCTGCGATAAGCCCGTCTGCCAGGCTCCTGGCCCATTCTCTGTGGTGCTGCCCCTCCCTCACATACCTTTGTATCACTTCATCTGGCTGCCCGCATCCACATAATTGTATCAGTCTCCCTTACAGTCTGCAATAATCACATCCACATGAGCTGTCTCCGCTATCACTGCGGGTCTGTCTCCAATACGCCTGTTAGGTTACCCCAGTGCTGTTACACAGGAGGAACTCGTTGTTTAAAGCTCAACACACATCTCAAACACGATTTCTGTCCCTCCCAGCTCTCTATTTAGCTATCAGCCATTTACCCACCATTCAGAACCCACCCACGGTTTCGGGAGCCTCTGCGCGGCGTCCCTGTCAGGAGATGAGGTGACAGGGGAAACGCAGCCTGACGGGCTGCTGTTACAGCCTGATCCGATTCTGCTGTTAGACTGAGACGTTCCCGGGGGGAGGTCTGATCCCACGGGAGCTGCGGGGACCCCTCAGCGCCAGGGAACATCAGAGAACCACGGATCACCGAGTGCAACCTCTGACCACTGGGGATAATGCGCGGGGAGGGGGCCCAGGGGCCGGGGCCTTCCTGCCGCCCCCCCGCCCCCTCCCTGCGGGACCCAGGCCCGGCCCCGCCAGGCCCCAGCCCCGCGGCCGCCCGGAGCCGCCCCCGCCTGGCGCCTGCTGAGCTCCCCCTGCCGGGATCCCGCCCCCTCCCCGAGCAAAGGCCAATCAGAGGCGGAGGGCGCCTGACTGACAGCCGCCCAGCCTATCCGCAAGCTCTCCTGCCGCACCCAATCGGATGCCCGAGGAGGTTTTTCTCGCCCAATGGTAAGCGAAGGGCGGGGCGTGAGCCGCAGCCCGCGCTTCTTCGGGAGCGGCGCCGCGCTCGGCCAATCGGAGCAGCGCGGGCTGGTTTAGCGGAGGCCAATGGGGTGAAGGGGCGGGTAGGGCGCTGCTCGCGAGAACTGGAGAGGGACGACGGGAACCCGCGTCTGGGCGAGTGGACCAATGGGGAGGGGCGGGGCGGGGCCGCTACAACTGGCAGGCAATAAGGCCAATCAGAAGGAAGAGATCGGCTCGCCCAATGGGCGGCGAGCAGAGGCGGTCCCCTCACCGCCCGGCAGCCGCTATTGACAGGTCCCGCGCCCAATCAGAGGGCCGCTCGCTTTCTAACCGTCCAATGAGCTGGCGGGGCGGGGCGGGGCGGGGTGCGGGCACGGCTCCTCCCGCCCCCTCCTCGCGGGCGCGGGAGGCCGGCCCGCAGACGGACAGCTCCCCGAGCCAATCAGGAGGAGGAGAGCGCGGGGCCGGGCGGGTCTTCCGCTCGGCGGGCCCGAGGCGGCCAACAGGGGCCGCGGGCCGGCGCCGGGCGGCCAATGGGCGCCGAGGGGGCGGGGCCGGCGGCCGCCGCGGCTTCCAAGATGGCGGCGGGTGCGTGAGCGCGGCGGGCGGGCAGTCGGGGAGGCCGCCGGGGCGCAGGGGGGGCCCCGCCGCCGCCCGCCGCCATGAAGGGCAAGGAGCGCTCGCCCGCTAAGGCCAAGCGGTCGCGGGGCGGCGGCGAGGACTCGGCGTCCTCCTCCTCCTCGGCGGCGGCGGCGCGCGGCGAGCGGAGCGGCAAGAAGCCGAGCGGCTCCGGCGGCTCCAACGGCGGCGGCGGCGGGAAGGCGGCGGCGGCCTCCGGAGACAGCACCAGCGGCCGGCGCGGCCCGCACCCGGACAAGGCCGCCCGCGCCGGCAGCCGCGAGTACGAGGCCGGGGCGGCGGCGGCGGCGGCGGCGGGCGGCGGGGGCGGGCGGCACGGCTACGGCGGAGGCAAAGCCGCGGAGGCGTCGCGGAGCGGAGGCAGCCGGGGCGGCGGCGGGGGGGAGTCCCGGGCCCCGGCGGCGGCGGCGGCCCCGTCCTCGGAGTCGGGCGGCGGCGGCGGGGAGTACAAGACGCTGAAGATCAGCGAGCTGGGCTCGGCGCTGAGCGACGAGGCGGTGGAGGACGGGCTCTTCCACGAGTTCAAGCGCTTCGGCGACGTGAGCGTCAAAATCAGCCGCCTGCCGCCCGGCACCGGCGCCGCCGACGAGCGGGTGGCCTTCGTCAACTTCCGCAGGCCCGAGGACGCCCGCGCCGCCAAGCACGCCCGCGGCCGCCTCGTGCTCTACGACCGCCCGCTGAAGATCGAGGCCGTCTACGTGGGGAGCGGCGGAGGGAGCAGCCGGCGGCGTGGCAGCCGCTCCCCGGCGCTGCTGGACAAGGAGTCGCCCTACGGCACGGCGGCCGTGGGAGTCGCGGCGGCAGCGGCGGCGGCTGTGCGGCACCCCCCGGCCGGGGCGACGCAGCGGGCTTTGTCCCCCGCCGGCAGCGGCGGGGCCCTGGGTTATCGAGACTACCGGCTGCAGCAGCTCGCCCTCGGCCGCTTGCCGCCTCCGCCCCCTCTGCCCAGGGAGCTGGAAAGGGAGAGGGACTACGGGGGCTTCTACGAAGCGCGAGTGCGGCCGGCCTATGGGCTGGAGCGGGTGGCTGGTGTGGCGGCTGCCGGGGGCTTCCGTGGAGGAGGTGGGGGTGCTGGAGCCGCCAGTGAGGAGGAGATCAGCCCAGAGGACGACCAGAGAGCCAACCGCACTTTGTTTCTGGGCAACCTGGACATCACTGTGAGCGAGACAGATTTACGCCGAGCCTTTGACCGTTTTGGGGTCATCACTGAGGTGGACATCAAAAGACCGGGTCGTGGGCAAACCAGCACGTACGGTTTTCTTAAATTTGAAAATCTGGACATGGCGCACCGGGCCAAGCTGGCCATGTCAGGAAAGGTGCTTCTGCGCAACCCCATCAAGATTGGGTATGGTAAAGCCACTCCAACCACCAGGCTTTGGGTGGGTGGCCTTGGGCCCTGGGTGCCCCTTGCTGCCCTGGCCAGGGAGTTTGATCGTTTTGGCACCATTCGCACTATTGATTACCGCAAAGGTGACTCGTGGGCCTACATCCAGTACGAGAGCTTGGATGCGGCGCAGGCGGCCTGTGCCCACATGCGAGGCTTTCCCTTGGGTGGGCCGGATCGCCGGCTCCGCGTGGACTTTGCGGATACTGAGCATCGGTACCAGCAGCCCTACCTGCAGCCTCTGCCCTTGCCACCCCCTGCTCATTACGAGCTAGTGGCAGAGGCAGCTGCTTTTGGGGCTCACCGGGGGGCCCCACCTGATCCCCTCCGGGGGGCCCGGGACAGGACGCCACCGTTACTCTACAGAGACCGTGACAGAGACCTTTATCCCGAAACAGAGTGGGTGCCACCCCCGCCCCCTGTACGGGATAGGAGTAACCGGGCAGCTGCCTATGACCCGCTGGAAAGCCTAGAACGGCGTCGGGATGGTTGGTCCTTGGAGCGGGACCGAGGGGAGCGGGAGTTGGGCAGTAGCAGTAGGGAGCAGCCTAGAAAACGGAGGCTGGCAGAGGATGGAGGCCGGCACTTGGACCGCTCTCCAGACAGCGAGCGCTCCTCTTCCTCCCGAAAGCGTCACTGTTTGGCCACCACCTCCCCCCCAGACCGCAGCCCAGAGCTCCTTGGAGGGAGGGAGCGTTACAGCAGTGACCCAGAGCGCTCGTCCTCCCGCTTGCTCCTGTTGGAGCGGCCCTCACCCATTCGGGAGTCGCGCAGGGGCAGCCTGGAGCGGGGCCAGAACGAAAAGCGCGACCGCAAGAATTCCGCTGAAAGGGAGCGGAAGCATCGTGCTTCTGCAGCAGCCGCCGCACAGGAGTGCAAAAGTCCAGCCAAAAAGGATGAACGTGCTGCAGAAGGAGGTGGCGGAGGCTCCCGGCTCAAACCTCCACCTCAGAAACAGCAGCAGGATGGAGCGTCGCAGGCTGGGGGAGCCTCCAAGCTGTGCTTGGCTTGGCAGGGGATGCTTCTGCTGAAGAACAGCAATTTCCCGTCCAATATGCATCTGCTTCAGGGGGACCTCGGAGTTGCCAGCAGCCTCCTCGTGGAAGGAGCTACTGGGGGGAAAGTAGCTCAGCTCAAGATCACCCAGCGTCTTCGTCTGGACCAGCCCAAGCTGGATGAGGTGAACCGCCGCATCAAAGTGGCGGGCCCCAATGGTTACGCCATCCTTTTGGCTGTGCCTGGCACATCAGACAACCGCTCCGCAACTGGAGCTAGCGAGGCCGCTACAACCTCCACCCAGAGGCCACTCAGGAATCTGGTGTCCTACCTAAAGCAAAAGCAGGCTGCTGGGGTGATCAGCCTCCCTGTGGGGGGTAACAAAGACAAGGAGAACAGCGGGGTCCTGCACGCCTTTCCACCCTGCGACTTCTCCCAGCAGTTCCTGGACTCCACGGCCAAGGCACTGGCCAAATCAGAGGACGACTATCTGGTCATGATCATTGTCCGTGGGGCATCCTAAGGCCCTCGTGTTCTGTACCCAACCCTGCCTACTCCTCCACACAGCCCCTCCAGCGTGTGCCAGGTGCTATGGGATACAGCCTTAGCCAGCCCTGTCATTATTTTTAATTAGATCTTTGTTTGTAGGTGACTTTCCCTGCCCGTTTTTCTGTTACTACATTTTTCTATAAAGTTAGAAGCCAGAAAGGTTGGTTAGCCATTAGTGTGAATAGGATGTTTTGAGAATCCCTTATCCATGGGGATAGCTGGGAGGCTAGGCCTGCTTTGATTTACAAAAAAAAAAAAAGAAAAAAAAAAGAAAAAAAAAAAGAAAAAAACGGGGGGAGGGGGTGGAAGAACAAACTCCCGTCTTCGTAATTTTGATTCGTGTCCTTTTTTCATTTCATGTATTTTAAAGCAAGTTCAATAGCTCATTCTCTAGAGTTACAAACCTGAAAGACCAGATTTAAAGCACTCAGTATTTTAAATGGAAAACCACATCCCTGCTAGTGGACTGGTGTCAACTCATTTTTGAGTCACTGAAATTCTGTGACGGCCTCAGGCCAGCGGCCCTTTGGCACGCATGATCCCTTTCCTCAGGAGCCTGAATGGTTTCCCTTTGAGTTGCATGGCTCGAGGTTGATTTCTTTCAGGTGACCAGCACCTGCTCTTGGGTACACTGCAGAACATGAATTCCTTTATTGGGTGTTTGATAATTTCATCCAGCCCCACGAAATGCATGCACTGAAGGTATGCTTTTTTAACAGGTGTATTTCTCCTATTTCTCTGAGTTCTGTTGTATCCCATATATGCACTTTGGGTTTGTAGCAGTGACAATGTTTGGTAAATTGCTGAGGACTTTGTTACAAACCATGAATGTCTTGTGCTTACTCTGGTATGCAAGAAACAAGGAGGTGCTTTAAGAATAACTTTAGTTATATTGTGGTTTTTTGTTTTTACTGCCTTTTTCAAAGAGTTGCAGGTACAGTGGGGTCTGGTTCCACAGTGCAAACTCTGAGCAAGTGTGCTTCTCTCCAGAGATGGTTTTAATTCTGTAATAATTTAATTACATAAAAGTTCTCATTATCATTTTACCTTTTTGTTAATAGCAAGGAACTGCTGTCTGCTAGAGACTTTTCAGGTACAGTACAGTGGGCATTACATGAGGTTTATAGTTCTGTGATAATCTGGAGCAAGGTGTTTTCAGCATCTTGGAGAAGTTTAAAAGTAGTTTGGGATGCTGAGGTGAGAGTTCTTTTTCATGTTATTCTAGGAGGAAGCAGTTTGCCTTTTTCCCAGAGAACGTCGTTCATTTTCTCTAAGGGATCCAGATCTCTCGTACTGTTTAACAACTGCAAGGCTGTTGCAGCTAGCTTCTAAACTGAAGTGTAAATCTGACTGTATCCATATAAAGGCCCTAAAATATAATCTTGCACTTAAAGCCAGAATGTAATCTTGCACTTAGCCACATTTTAAGAGATGGGCAATGTAAACACAATGCTGCTTCCCTCCATTGATCCTCCGATGCGTCCCCTGGGTAATTGCTGTGGGGCAAGTTGACTTCTGTTTCAACTTAGATGACACAAAAATCAAATTCAGATGTGGGGTGGGTTGCCAGTAGTACCTGAAGGAGGAGAGGCACTGAATGTATTCTGTGGATACAGAAGTTGTCAAGTTTGACAGTACTTGTTCGAGATTTGCTGTCACAGAGAGGTGAATTTCTGTAATGCCACTTTACAGAGCCACTCTTCAGAGAGTGCTCTTGTTTCTGTGAGGTGTGATTTCCTTTTTCAGAGCAGAAGGAGTAGATGTTGTGTCCCAGGCATCGCAGTGAACTGAGAACTTGAATGTGGCAGCATATCTTGAAAACAAATTTTGGTTTTAGAGCTACTTTTCTTTTAAAGTGGAAACATACAAGCCTCATTTAATGCTCTTAAGTGTTTGAGGGTGAAATCCAGGATTTCTGGATTGTTGTCCTTCCACGTGAATGTAGTAGATTTAGATGGCAGAACTCAGCTGTTCATCTTGCTATTAACAATGAGGATTTCTTGAAATGACACCAATAATGCAAATAACTGTGTTTGAGAAGATACAGCATATTTACCACTTACTGCAAAGAATGTCTGTCTTAATTCTTGCAGGTGTCTGTTGTGTGTTTGCGTGTAATCAACACTGCTGCTAACTTGCTCTGAGTGCTTCTTGCATTTAGAGCGAGTTCTCCAGTGGCATCTGACGTGAGTCACTTGCAAGTGCGGAGTTTTAAAGGAAAGAAACTTGAACTGCTGGGAATTCAAACCTGTCCAACACCAAAAAAGAAGCACTGACATCGTTTGTGTCCAACACTTCAACTTGTGAAGCACAGTGTTTGTTACGCTGACACACAGCAGACACCTGTTTTTAAAGCCCGTGAAACTTGGGGTCAACACAGCTTGTCAAAGCAAACTCTTGACAGCTAGTTGGGGGGGTGTGGGATCCCTTTCAGGAGGAGCATCTTGGGTGCACTTCCTTCTTCCTCGTAAAATAACAGTGGTTGTACCTGCCACTGGCTTTTGTAAGTCAAAGTTCTCTGCACTGGAGGGCAATAAGGAACAGGCAAGGCTGTATTTGACTCCAGGTTTTCTGGTTTCTTACCGAACGGAGTACCTGCTTCTTTAAATCTGGTTTATTTGTGGTTGCTGCTCTTGTTTTGTAAGCAAGGATTTTAACACCCTTTGAGGGTATTTAATGTCAAAACATAGCTGACTGGCAATATTTTTTGCCGGCACTTGGCCACGTGCTGCCATCATGTCTGGTACAGCTTTGGTGGCTGTGCTGTTCTCTTAAGCTCTGAAGTGTGCACCATTGGAGTAGCTGTCCACTAAAAGTCACCTTGGCCAGGGCTGAGCGCAAGTAGAAGTCCATCTGTAATATCACTTCTGTATAGAGCAAAACAGATGTAGCAGAATTCAGCTCTCTTGTCGTATTTGGCATTATGTTGCTCTAGTCAGAGCTCAGTATTTCTTCAAACTTTATGTGCAGCTGATGTTCCTATATTTCACGAGTTAGTTTGTTGAATTAATGTGGAAAAAGGATGTCCTTTTCCTGAATCATTTTGTAGCTGTGCTTTATGCTTTGGGGAAAGAACCTCAAATGACTCATACTTTTGTTTAAGATTTTATTTAATTATTTTTTTTTAATTGGAAACTTTACGCAACTTCCTTGGGTGCTAGCCAGTGGCTTTGTTTGCTCCGGTCTAGTGCACGGTCTGCTGTGGACTGGGAGTGCAGCACGAGCACTGAGGTTACCATCAGCTCTGGAGGTTTCAGACTCCTGGCTTATGACTCCTGGTGCAGCCTTTTAAGCATTGCAGAGGGAGAAGCGATTTATGTGCCAGGCAAATCTTAACCCTATTTTTTTTATACGGCTGTCAAAAGGCTGAAATACTTTGGTGACAACTTGCTCAACCTCCTGTGGAGGGTGAAGAAGAGAGTTTAGGCTTCCTGCATTGGCAGTGGAACGATCTAGTTGATGGTAACTGAGGTGAAAGGCCTTAAGTATTAATGGGAAGGAGGAACCAGTGAAAATTGTGAAGACAGGTTCAAAAACTCTGAGGACTCAGGGAAAATGGCTTGGAAAATTGTAGTTCCTGGCTTTTAAGACAAACAGTGCTGAGGGCAGTACTCGTGGGGAGTCTGCTGTACGCCTGTTGAACAGAAAAAAGAGTGGAGAAAATCGTTGCCATGCTACAATTACAGAGTTTTTGGGGTTCTTTCCCCCTTGTCTCCCCTTTTTCTAACAACTTTCTGCAGATAGCACCGAAGGACAGGTATTCCAATGAGTTATAAAAGGAATGATGAGATGATTTTTATATCGGGCTTAAAGCAGACTGTATTGTAGAATTAACTGAATGGTTAATTGAATATGCAACTTCCTGCAGTTTGGTGTTAAAATTATGGATGAGAAATATTACTTGAATAGTAACAGTTTTAAATGATATTAGGTGTGTCTTTGATTTGCCCTCTTTAATATTGGAATTGCCTGCTGTTGGAATTATGCAGCAAAATAATAACAAAAGAGAAACTTGTGAACACTACATTTCACATTTCTGTTGATAAGTTGCCTTTGGGAAATGTTCTTTGAGGAAAGTCAACTGAATTGTCAAAAATTCCGCTGATTTTTCTCATGGTTAATTATTTTGATGTGTCCCATTAACTGTTGCTGAAAGTTGAATAACCATCAATACTGTAAGCCTAGTTTAACCTCGGTCCAAAAACAAGCCCTGCACTACTTGTTATGCATCTATACATAGAAGGTGACTTCATTGCAAGGTTTTGTGCCCGTGGGTGGTATAACGTTGGGAGGCGAAAATCTGTCGTATACATTTGTATTGAAATAACATTTTCTTTCCTCCTGCAAGCAAAGCTGGTGGACTGCAGAAGACAACCACGTGGGATACCAAGCTCTAATGGACCTTTGGGAAGAGAAGCTGTGGCTTGTGTGGAATTTACATGGGCCTCTTGATGGAAGAAAGCTTATCTGTTTAGTATTTGTGCATTTTACTAAAATGGCAGCTTTAAAAAAAAAAAAAAAAAGTTGTGTATCTGCTATTGTGATGCCAATGCCCGTGTTTTAAGTGGAAAAAAAATGACCTCTTTGCTTTGTGCTGTGTACACAAGATTGCTGGAAAAGTAAAGGAATACCCTTTTTATGGCTCACACAGCTTAAAAGTAGCTGTCACTCAAACATGCGCTCACAGTTGAGCTGATTTTGTTTCATTCTAAATAAATTGTTTCTTTTGAGGAAAATGGTTTTTCTGCCTGGAAGTGAATTGACGACAAACGTTTGACCCCTTTGTTTGCAGCAGAGGGGTACTTGCTGCTGCTACTGCTCAATGATAGTTGCAGGTCTTGAGCAAGAAGCAGGGAGACTGGCACTTTCGCGTTGACCAGCGTGTTTTACCAAATCTGAAGAATCTAGTTGATTGTCTGGCTGTGGCACCCCCTTGGTTTGCGGTGAAGGGGGTCACTTGCTGCTTTACTCCTCATCCTTACGAGGAAGCGGTGCTGATGCTGGCATGCAAGAAGCAGGGAAGCACCACCCTGCATCTCAGAACGGTGTACAAGTCTGGGGCTTCGACGAGCTGGAGTTCCTGAATTTTATGTTTCTGATTTATTTTGTTCACCCAACTTGTTTGGCTTTAGTTTTGATTTTTTTTAAGTTTGAAGAAAAAGTTTGAAATTGCGTTGAATCTTGCACGTAAACCTTTGCACCAAATTGCCAAAAGAAAAAGCGAAATGAGTCCTTAGGAGTGTTTAAATGCTGTTAATAAAGCCTTTCCTGACATACGCGAGGCGCTCCTCCATCTCCAGGGGCTTTTCAGCAGTTATGCAGTGCTGGGTTTAGTTCTGAATGGATGAAGAGTTCCTGAGAGCTAGAGTTGGTAATTTAAAACCTTTGCGTTGGTGTCAGTGCCTTATTTTGACCGGTTTTGAAGCAAATGTTCCACATGCCTCGGATGTGCATGCACCCTGATCGCGTCCCAGGTACGGCTGCATGTTTGCTTGCAGTCACCACAATGTGTAGTACAGATGGTGAGAGGAAAAAATGGAGGCATCCTGACAATGTTGTGTGCTGTAGTCCTGCCTTCTCCTGTATGGGGGCTCCTGAGCTGTGGAAGGCTGTTCCAGTGCAGGAGCTCAACTCCATGTTCGCTGCAGGAGACTTCGGGGCACATTTGACATCCGCTGAGACGAAGAGGAAGCTAACGCTGCGGCATCATTGGCTTCAGACACCTCTTGTGTTATGCTTGCCGGTCTGTTAGAGTTAATGTGACATGCAGATGAAGACACCTTGAAATGCAAGCTTGCCCTGGTTGCCTTGACATACTTTAACCTCCTGTGGATAACGAACCTAGTGCTGTCCTGCAGCCGTGCAGGATCACTGCTAGGCTGCAGGTGCCTTCCAGCAAAAGGATGCCGTGGTTGTGCTCCGCAAGGTGTCTCTGTTCCTGGGGCAAAGAGCTGTGTAAATCCCTCAAACAGGTAAGGGGGTTTAAAAGGTTGAACTGAATTGTAATGTAAAAGGAGATAGTTTTGTTGTTCACCTTTTTTTGCTTCTCCAGCCTTGAGTGCCTACTAACTTTTACTAATGTGTGTTTGCTTCGGTCAGCGTGCTGTTCCCATCCATGCTGGGGATGGTAGCGCCGGATCAAACTCTTCGATGTACGTTCTGTGTTGGCTTTGGGGTTCCTGTGGGTGACCACAAGGCTTCCTCACCCATGGGGCAAGGTGCCTTGGGAGTGGAGCTGCAGGACTTTGGTGTGGAGAGCTAGAGCTGCTATTTTAACTTGATGAACTGCTGAATTAACACTGACTTGTAACCAAGCGCTATCTGTAATCTGTGGATGTTGATGTGGAAAGCCAAGCGATGCTTAGGCAAAGCTATGTATGTGTTTATGGGATGCTGGTGTAAGCATTTAAATGAAGCTGTTTATTGCAAATGAGAGCATTTTTAGATACTGCTGGTAATGAGGGGAGACTTCTGAGATGGGATTTTCTTCCAGAAGCTGGTGTTTGTAGTTGAAGTTGATGTTTTTGCAATGTATTTCATGTTCTGTTGAAATGTGACCTCTGAATCTGTGATAACTCAAAGCGTTGTACGGAAGGTGCAGGGCCTGCAGCAGTGACTGGAGGCTTCTTGAGCCTCTCTGGCTTCAACTTGGCTGCTGGTTGATGCCACCAGGAGAAGAGCGATCTGTTAGCATAACCCAAGTAAAGGAGATGCTTCTCAGAAGCTGGCCATCTGCTTGGGCAGCCAGGCGTGTGTTTCGGGGTTGGGCGTGCTCCCACCTCTTGGATGTGCTTTGGCTCGTGCAGCAGGCAGGGCCAGTGGCGGCTGCTCCAGGAGGGTTCTGTGGCTCTGACTCAGACTCCTCCGTTACTGAACTGAGGGCTTGGTGCAGTCTCCTTCGTGTTACGTGGTTATTCTGGAGACTCGGAGGTACTGTGGGATGTGGTGTAGGGTGATTCTCCTGCGGCTGTTCTGTAACACCAGGTTGGTTTTTGTGTGCTGGATCTGCCTGCTGAATTGGTTAGAGGAATGCTTCGGCTCCAGGAAAACCTGTGCTTTTGTTAAAGCTGAGCCCTCTGAAGGGTTAAGTGCTCTATATGCATCATATTAATTTGGCTAATGAGACTTCAGGCAAGCAATCTGGGGAAAGTGGATTTGTAAAGAGAACCATTTAATTAACTGCACTGCAGTAGAAAGTGGTGGCTTAGATGGGGAACCGGTGATTTGAATTCACACATTTCTTCAGAATTGCGCTTTTACCAGCCGCAGCTGAATTAAGAAGGAAGTTTTAAACATCAGATGGCCCAGATTCTGCTCTTAGCTAATAACAGGCTTATGTTCGCCTCATGCTACTGGTTTGCTGTAAAATAGCAAAATGCTCCTTGAGGATATACTTCTGCCACGTGTCCCACGTCGGGGCGAGCTGACTGGGCGAGTCGCCTGCGGAAAGGCGAGGGAAAGGAGTGGAAAGCACCTTGGGCAGATGGCTTTGTGATTCCTATTGTATCTCCTCCTTTTATTGTCTGTTAGCTGTGGGCCTGTGTGTAATTATAGCCAGCTTGAGAACTGGGTGAGGTAAACTCTTAGGACAGGGTAAGCTGCTGGAGGTCTGTCTGTGTCCCCCTGTGTGACGGGGTGCGGGGTCTGCCCTGTGGGGCTGCGTGCTGCTGGTGCCTGCAGGAGGAGCAGAGGCTGAGGACGGGGCGGCACTGACATTTATGACAATGTCTTTTAACAGCCCTTTGTATCTTCCACCAGTGATGGATGCGTTAATTAAACGTGGGTGCGGTGATGTGGTGGTGGTGCTGCGGCCGCCTCTCTGCTGAGCTCCCGGCTGTGCCCGTGTTGGCATGGGGCTGTCGCATGTCATCCCACCGTTATCCCAGGTTGGGACAGCGTGCGAGGGACCGTGCGTGGCTGCTGTGGCTCTGCCGGTAAGCCACAGGTTAATTGTGGGTGCCAGGTATTTCAGCTGCTTTCTTCCCTGCCTTGACCTTCATACCTAGTTCTGCAATCGGATTGGAAGGTCAGTCTGTAGGTTTGGAGCCACCTCCAGTATTTCCTGTCCCCAGACACAGCAATAGGGCAGGCTGACTCTTAGCAGTGTGTACGGCTTCAGCCAGAGCCCTGTGTGCTGCCCTGAGCTGGCAGCTTTCCCGTAACGCCTGCAATTTGTAGCAAGTGAGCATCAGGGTACTTAAATGTGTATCTGTTCCTATGAAAGCACCACCTTTCAGGCCTGCAAAATCCCAAACTGCAGCGTGCCTCGGGACTGCCTGTGGGTGCAGGAGGCTTGCTGGTTAGGGAGCCTGCGTTTCACTTGGCTGAGCTTCCCAAAGGCTGTTGGGGAGCTCTGGGGGCTGGTGGAGCAGCAGTGCCCCGGGGGTGCTTGTGGTGGAGCTGCACTGCCTGGGAGCTGCTCATGGTCCTCACCTTAGGCAGTGTTGGTGCGGGGTGAGCTGAACAGCCTGGGCATGGTGAGGAAGGGGACAAGGGGACGTCACCGTCCCTTGTGCTGCTTCCCTTGGCTGGGTGAACGAGAGACCTCGCTCCTTGTGTCTGCCAGCCTGTCTCCCTTTCTCTTGCACTAAGGCATGATTCAAACCGAATTGGTGTGACGTGTTCCCGGCTGTCAGGGAGCTGATAACAAATGCCTTTTCTCTTCCTCCTTGACTTTGTTTCCTCCTCCATAGTTCCCTTCCCTTACTTGGCTAAAGGCTTGAGGACATGGGGATGGAGCTGTTGGAGCGATGGGGTCACTGGAGGGTTGTGCAGACACCTCCCTGGCCCTATCTTGCTCATATGAGATACATCTATAGGGGAAAGTGCTCAAAAGCTCAGAGGTGACTTAGAAGGCAAAGTCTGCATTGCTTTGGAAATAGGGACTTTGACCTATGAATTGCTTCTGAAATTGCCCATGGGCTTGAACATGAATTCCTCATCTTCTGTGGTTGCTGCAGGCTTGAAAGCTTTTCAGTGAGGCTCCGTCTTTGTAAACTTATTTTAGCTTTAGATAAGATGTCTGCATTTTCAAACATCTTTTTTTTTTTTTTTTTCCCGTTACGGTAGCTGATAAATTCCCATCAGCTTCAGTGAAAGTAGCTGTACTACCTTTAAAGATGTTTTTAAAAACAAAAACCAAAGCAGCTCACCTCCAAGGGTGGCTTTCATGTGGCTGGAAGTAAAATTTCCAAGCTCAGGCTGTGCTGAATTTCCACACAGTGGCAGCCTGCATCACCAGAGCAGTGCTGGAGGGGCTGCAACACGGGGTGTGCTGTGGGCAGGAGGGAAGCGAGCACTGAAGGAGCCGAGCGTGCCTGTTATCAGCGTACGTAAGGGCGAGTAAACAGCAGAAACCACATGCGGTATCTGCCAAACAAGCGGGTGAAGGAAGAACAGCCTTGTTTCCTGTTGCTGGAAGGCTGTGTTGTCATATCCTTACCGAGCTATTTTAGATTGCTCTCCGCTTTGTCCCTGTGGCTTAAGGTAAAAGCAGAGACCTCAGCAGTGCCGTGAGCTGGAGCACGCCTGGCTGTGGATGTGCTGGGTATCGCCACCCAAAAAGGCTCACGGAGCAACGAGCGAACGTTCTTGTTCTTTAAACTGTCCCTGAATTAAGTAGGCCTCACTTCTCTCATAGTTAATGAGCGTCCTGCAAAGGCAGTGCTTCTCATGGTCCTGCTGCAGGCAGCAGCCTTGGTGTGGCTTTGTGTGCAGGGCAGCCGGCTGCAGGTGC